GAAATGAACAAACGCGAGGCCAGATAAATGACCACAGTGTACTTTATTAACTGAATTTTGGTAGTTTGTGTTGCATTAGATTCAAATAAAAATTTACAAAAATCTCATATGTACAAAAAACTCCTTTTGATTATTTTTTTTATTATTCTTGAATTATTCTTTTTACAATAAAACGTACTTTTCCCCCATTGAATGCTTTCATCACACAATGCAACATACTGATAAGACCAATATTACTTTGTCTTACACATGTTTTTTCTTTTTGTTAAATACACCACATACACCACATTTATCTTTTTTTCCTCTGTGTTAAACTGTCATATTTAGAGCCATCACGGTGGCATCGCACCTCTGGAGACACGCTTCACAGTCAGAACTCAAAAAGAGAGGAATGTTCTTTTTTAACATGTACACATTGCATACATTTATTTACAGATAAGCATTTAAGTTGTTCAGTTCACTATCTGTGGTATTCCATGTTTAACCAACTCTAAACAGACATCTGTACAGAATGATTATACAGGATTGTTTTAACCTGCTGGTTACTGTGCTTGTACTAAGACTGGACGATCCCGCCTGGAGCTGCTGCTGCTGCACAAATGACCATTCAAACTTCATAGTATCGTTTTTGCCTGGTTCAATAGCTAAATTCTGCATTGTGCTTGGCAGGTGTGTCTAGACCACAGCAGCAATTTGACCTGTTATAGATGATGAATAGAGACAGTCGCTGGACCACAATACTAACAGAAAAACACAATCTATTTATCTCATCTTATAGTGATAGTAGAATATGTGCTCGTCATGTGGAACCACTCCAACAAGTCTTTAAGACTAAATGCAGATATGAGTCTCGTGTCTGTGCTTTGGTTACATGTAGCCAACTACAAACATTTGACTCTAGTGGATGGAGACTTTGTAGCCTTGTTTCCCGTTACACACCAATAGCAACCGCCCCAAACATCCTGTTAAGTCTCGCGTCAAAAACATGTTGGATCGTCAAACTAAATTCAGTTTTTGCAATGGCTCTATGATTGTTATATTACATATTTAACACGTGTCATGTGTCCCTGATGTTTGTAGACTTTGTCTATGGAACAGACTGGTCAAAAAAAATGTTGTGCGATTAATAAATAAGCGTTACTGGGAACATCTTACTCACACATGGATCATTGTGTTTCTTAGAGTCAATAAAAGTGCAAGAAAACAAGGAGGAAGAGTAAACCAAGAAACAAACTGCAATATAACTGCAAGTTTTCTATATTTTCTATTGCTTCTTCATTCCTCTATAGCAGTATTGTGCGACTGATGTTACAAATGAACACAGTCTGAGGGGTTTAGATGATGCAGTACTGAGGAACAGCTTCTTTGCTAGTATAAGCACAGTAACTGCCACATATTCTGCTATTGGGTGTAAAAACATCTCTCTCTCTCTTTCACACACAGACACACACGCATGCTTTCCAGTTTAACTAGAAAACTAAGCTGTGCCCAAAGTACAGCCTCATTGTCTCCTGTGTGATGACGTAGAAATGAAGGAAAAATAGAAATAGATTTTATTTTAAGGCAAATTAAACACAGAAAGCAGCTAAAACAAAGTCATGAACACTGGAGCACATCTGGGATTTATAAAATGCCGAATCACAGCGACAGTCGCTTCAAAGCGCTTTATACTGTAAGGTCGACCCTACAATAACACATACAGAGAAAAACCCAACAATCATATGACCCTCTATGAGCAGCACTTTGGTGACAGTGGGAAGGAAAAACTCCCTTTTAACAGGAAGAAACCTCCAGCAGAACCAGGCTCAGGGAGGGGCGGGGCCATCTGCTGTGATTGGTTGGGGTGAGAGACGGAAGGAAGATTAAAGACATGCTGTGGAAGAGAGACAGAGGTTAATTGTTATAACTAATAATTAAATGTAGAGAGGTGTATAAACACATGATGAGTGAAGAAGAAACACCCAGTGCATCATGGGAATCCCCCGGCAGCCTACGTCTATTGCAGCATAACTAAGGGAGGATTCAGGGTCACCTGGTCCAGCCCTAACTATATGATTTAGCAAAAAGGAAAGTTTGAAGCCTAATCTTGAAAGTAGAGATAGTGTCTGTCTCCTGAATCCAAACTGGAAGCTGGTTCCACAGAAGAGGGGCCTGAAAACTGAAGGCTCTGCCTCCCATTCTACTTTTAAATACTCTAGGAACAACAAGTAGGCCTGCAGAGCGGGAGCGAAGTGCTCTAATAGGGTGATATGGTACTACAAGGTCATTAAGATAAGATGGGGCCTGATTATTTAAGACCTTGTATGTGAGGAGCAGGATTTTGAATTCTGGATTTAACAAGAAGCCAAAACAGGAGAAATCTGCTCTCTCTTTCTAGTTCTAATCAAACAAGGTCTAAAGTAATATGTTTTAGTTGAACCCTAATCCTCAGTTCTGTTCAGGTCAAATGTTTATATAGTCAAATCACAACAACAGTCACCTTTATATCGTAAAACCAACAATCAGCCCATTTCCAATGCCACATAACTGTCATACTATCAATGTTATACTTTGGAGGGTTTTCATAGGGTTTAATATTTATTGTTATTTGGAATTCATTTTAATTTTGGTAAACATATTTTCATTTAAACAGAAGTGTCAACTGTGTTACAGAAGAAAATGAACTGACAGACAATCTGTAAGGGTTTGTTCATGAGACAAACTGAGGTAGCTTCATGTTCCACACATATTTATATCAATGTACCGTGTGTGTTGATGGTGATGAGTAAACTAAGGCTGATTTTTGAACTGAAAACAAAAATAAATTGCTTGGATGTCTAAGAAATACAAGGCTGCATCTGCAACGCTGTTTCCAAAACAACAGAGAAACCTCGGTGCTTAACTCAGTATGAAGAAAGCATCAATGAAAAGTCTGCAAATGGGGAACCATATCTACAACAATGAATGTAGCTGAAAGCTGTTCTGGAGCGACTTTTACTAAAATTACGTCACTATCCAAATACCTGTGGACGAACTGTCTTCTTCAGAGATGTGCAAGTTATGCATGGCATGCGTATTAATGCATACCACCACATCTGCTGGCGTTTGAACTGCGCACCAGGACGGTGCAGTGGTTGAGAACCATTTCTACATTTGCCACCTCACATTTTTTTAGTTTGACACATGCTGTGCTATTTTTAATTAAATATACATGTTTAGACTTTATCCACTGACAGCCCAGTTACTGATTTATTTTATTCACTTTTTTCATTAAAAAAGACGAGCAGTAATTTCACTTTTTTTTATTTGAGGGATCATGAAAGTTCTTTCCACAGCCTGCTCTTGGTTTCCTGAACAGGCAGTATGTACAGCCTTGTACAGTATATGCCTTTCTCTAACAGTATTGTGCCATCATGAAACTTGTGTCTTTATCCCAAGAAAAAAAAACAAAATGACAAAAGACAAACGCTTTACATCTACATCACTCACCACCGAGTTTGTTCCCAGATAATAGGTCTGGAAAAGTCCCTTCTTTAAATGGAAAATCATCAGGTTTAGTATATTTTAAAGCATTTAGTCTTTTTAGTTGTCACTAACGTTGATTCAGCTACTGTAGTATTACTTCAGGACATCTGTCTTATGTTATGCAGCTTCTGCTGAACCCACAAAAGCTTTATGTATACAACAATTTCACTAAAGCACAAGTGTATTCCTCCACCAAACACAAGTCCATGGAAATCTCAAAGTAACCGAAAAATAATGAAGAGACATTAATGCCACGACAGAGATCGGTCTCCTCGAAATATCTGATGGAAACTCACACTGCGCACACACACACACACACACACATAAAAGTATCTGTTGTCAAACTTCAGCCGTAACACTGTTTGCATGTTTTTAGGTCTAACTGCTCAGTCTGAATAGATTTTTGCAGCCATTTTTATGCAGGCTATAGACTGCCAGATTTGTGGATTTATATCTACTTTGTGGATTTTTGTTCATTACAGTACAGTTTAAAATTGTGCAGTGTATGACTGTTTAAATGAAGATATCCAGTCGTTAAGTGATGACGTGACAAATCCTACTTCCAGGCCTAAAGTAGTCTGCGTTTAATATGGCTTTTGTGTTGTTAACATGTTTAATGTTTTGTATTTTCTTCTATTTAATCTCAAAAAGCTCCTAAAACAGTCAG